TAAAGAGTATGTTTAAAGGAAGGTGAACCAGGAGCCTGAGGTCTAAGATAGTGTCATGTCAATAGTTGGAAAAGGAATGTTTAGAGAAATGGTCACTGAGATGGGTTCTTGATGGAGAAGGTTTATTTACTATAGTATAGAGCAATGATGAGAGAGATGGGTCCTTGATAGCAGTCCTCAAGTAGTTAAAGGGGTTTCCCTTAAAAGAGGAAATAGAGTTGAAATTGAAATTGAAATTCTCTAGGACCAGGAAGAACCTTTTATATTACTTTGTCCAGCCATATCATTTTAGCATGTTCCATATTTAGAGGATAGAACCAGAGCCATAGGTGTATAGACTTATATTAACTCAATGAGTTAATATTTGACAATTAGGTTTTCTTTTTTTAAAGAGATGTTTTATTTTTGAGAGAAAGCATGTGTGCATGAGTTGGGGGAAGGGCAGAGAGGGAAAGAGAATCTCAGGCAGACTTGCTGCTGAGCATGGAGGCCCACACCAGGCTCAGTCTCTTGACCCTGAGATCATGACCTGAGCTAAAATCAAGAGTTGGATGCTTAACCTTTATTGCTTGAGCTACCTAGGTGCCCTGACAAGTAGATTAGCTAGCTTCTGAAAGCAAGGTTTCTGCTTAGAGAAGTATAGAGAATCTGGATCTCTTGTCAGGAATGCTGTACTGCCTGAAACTGAACTTTTTTTCCTGGTTCTCTGGGTTACTTAAGATTAAGAGCTACCTTTTAACTCTCAGGTGCTTGCTTTATTAAATTGTTATCACCTAAAGTTACAAGTGATAATTAAAAAGAAATACTGCATATTGCTACATTTCCTCAGTGATGTGATAGGAATGTAGTTACCAGACCTTTTGTTTTTTAAGACTTATGCCATTTTCTTTATGATATATATCAAGTCTTTGGAAGGCAAATAGCTTGTTAGAGCTGTAATTGATTAGCTGTACTCCAAATCAGTCACTTGGAATTTTTGACTTAGAATATTTTTATTCCAATTACTGGGGCCATGACAGTATTGAAAATTATGAGTTGATTATTGCTAAAAATGAAAAGGGCTAAATGCAAAGAGCATTGATGTATAGCTGACTGGGTGATTCAGAAGTGGACTAAGACTGGAAGGTCATCCTTTAACTATTTTTTCTGTGTTCTAGGTTTTACCCAACTCTTTTTAAGTGATTGACAAGTCAAGGCTTACCTACTTGTGAACATTGTATCAGAAAACAGATTACAGAATCTATGAAGTCATATGAATCTTCTAAAAAAGGGAACCAGAAAAATCAAGCAGCAGTTCACCATTATGCTTTTAGAGAAGTCTAGCTGTAGTTATTTTTGTTCAAAAGTAGAATGAGTAAAGAGGTCTGCTTAAGACTTTTGGATTCAAATACTAGCATAACCTAGATCTTCTTTCAAATAAATTAAAGGTTGAAATAAAGAGAAATCTTGCTTTTAGACTAAATTTAACTTAGACTTTATATCACTGCAAGCAAATAGCAATTTATAGTGTAGATATTAATATAGATATATAGTAGACATTGAAATACAGTTAGGTCTCAACTCCTATTACTTTCTGTCAATACAAAACGGGATTTTCAGGAGAGTTTAAAATATTTTAATATCAAGGAAGATCTTGGTCTTAATTGCTCTCGATATTTAAAATGTTTGAATAAATAATTGTAAAGGTTTGGTTAATTTTAAAAGGTGTGTCATCTTTTAAATAGCACTGGTTGGTTTAATGTACTGCTTTAGTACTACCTCTAAGGAGGGGCTTTAAGCATAGGCAGAACAAAAGGAAAATGGCCTGAATATTTTTCTTTTTGAAATGTATTATTTAAATGAACTTTCTGAGCAGGTACATCCCAATTCGGACATCACATTTTCATGAGACCCTATCGTTGATGTTGGAGAAGCTATTTCCTACTTTGATAGAATGTTAACTTGTATTCTGTCCCACTAAAGATAATTGAGTTTGCCTGTCACCAGAAAATTAGACTTGTGGCACAAGCTAATGGGGCTCTGCTGGGCAAGTGGCAAGATTGGGTACACATAACTTTCTAGCCATTGTCCAAATCAGCTGCAGCCTCTTTCCTTTCATTTATTCCCTGAAAAAGTATGCCTGGCATTGGGTGTAAAGATGAATAAAAAATTCTTGGTGTTAGGGATCCAGAACATAGTATGATGATTAGCTATAATGTACTAGTAGTTTTGGAAAAATACATTTGGATGGCAAAAACCAAATACCTTTGGATATCATTTGCAGTTAAACTAGGTGATGAAACCTCCAAATAGCAGCTGGGGAAACCACCAATCTGCCTAGTAACGGTTTTTACATGAATAGAAGGAAGAACTGCAGTAGCATCTGAATGACTTGGGAAAAGCAGAATCTCAAATTACTCAATTGGACTTTTGTCCTCTCCGTAGGTCATTGCAAAGTACCCATAGTAAGGATTGAAGAGATTGGAGTTTACCCCAGTGAAATCTCAAAACAGACCTGTCAAGACAAGATTACCTTTTTAAGGACAGGACCCCACACTGAGAACGTACTGAAAGTGGAAGTAGTCATTGAATAGGATAGAGACAGTAGGAGAGGGCCTAGGTCAAACTAGGGGAGGGGAACACAACCAGGAAAATCTTAGAAAGCAAGCCACCAAATTTCTGAATACTACTCAAAAACAACAGAAAAGGTAACTAAAGTTTTCTTCAATCTAACATCCTTCTAAATGGCCAAGAAAGGGATCCCTGGGTGGTGCAGCGGTTTAGCGCCTGCCTTTGGCCCAGGGCGCGATCCTGGAGACCCCGGATCGAATCCCACATCGGGCTCCCGGTGCATGGAGCCTGCTTCTCCCTCTGCCTGTGTCTCTGCCTCTCTCTCTCTCTCTCTATGTGACTATCATAAATAAATAAAAATTAAAAAAAAAATAAATGGCCAAGAAATAATTTTCATGTAAATGTGAGCAATTGAAAAATATTAATGTCAAATCTTAGTAAAGGTTATCAAGATGTAGTATGTATGAATGCTTAGTAAACAAAATGAAGGAAAGCTCTCTGAATAATGTTTGGATCGTCAGCAAAGCATTCATAGAAGGTGTAGCGTTTTGACCTGGGCCCATCTTTTTTTTTTTTTTTTTAAACTTTTAAAAATAGATTTATTTATTCCTGAGAGAGACACACAGAGAGAGGCAGAGACACAGGCAGAGAGAGAAGCAGGCTCCATGCAGGGAGCCTGACGTGGGACTCGATCCTGGGTCTCCAGGATCACGCCCTGGGCCACTGATCACACCACTGAGCCACCTGAGCTGCCCTACCGGGGGGCCCATCTTTCTATCAGAATCAGAATTGAATGTGAAGGGGAGGGGTGAAGGCAGCTTTAGTGCTTCCTCCTATTCTGATGTTCTCCAGGGAAGTGTTCTGGCCTTATTAGGTGCTGTTTGATAAGACTGGAAAGGGAAGAGTTTACAAGATCATGATTTATTTACTTAGGAGGGCAAATGGGAAGAAAAAGGAACTTGAGAAAATTGCAATTTACTGATTGCATGTAGGATTGTAATCTAATTGCCTTCTACTTACACAGTGTCCAACAGCCTTCTCCTCCTAATTTCATCCTTTAATCTAGTTTGGACCATAGAGGTAGTCTGCCAGTTGTAGTTAAAAGTCATTTCTGGTGTCTGTTTTCCCTCATCTCGTATCCAGTTACTTTATTCAACCAAGTATTGATTGCCCATTGTATATACTAGCCACTCTTCTGAGTGTTTTATCACCTTTTTTTTTTTTTTTTAAGTAAGCTCTACACCAAGGCAGAGGCCCAACTCATTCATGACCTTTCATGAGGACTTGCATGCCCCACTAAGCCAGACCCGCGCTGCCATACATTAGGTATTTCTAAAGAGCTATAGAAACCACATGGGTCTAAAAGTAACTTGTGGAGTTTACATTCTAGTTTTGGCGATAGGGGGAGCATGGATATACATGGCAATAAGTGCCGAGAGAGATATTATTATTTAAAAATAGTATCTCAGGGAGATCCTAACGTCTCCACCAGGATGAAGGGCAAGGACCTTACCGGCCTTCCCCATTTTGTGTTCCTTGTGTGCCTGGCACATTTAACAGACATTCAGTGTTGAATAAATGTGGGCCATAGAGAAATCAGTTTAAAAATACCGCCCTGGGCGCAATTGACTAAATTTTACGTCACTCCATTTCATTCCTCCCTGAAATACATAAAAAAGGGAAGCTGTTGTCTTATGAAGCCAGTAATCCCAGGTCAGAATTTTAGAAATTGAATATCCCCCCCGCCCCCCCCCCCCGGGTCAGGGGATCCCCTTAGCTCCACTTTTGGTATCCTCGGGCTAGGCCCAGTTAATGTGTGGCACCCATCTGGTAGCCTAGATAACCAGGAGCGTTTGGGTAGTGAACGTTCTAGTACTGGAAAGCCACACGTTCCTCGAGGCCTGCTTACTAGCTAGCTTCCGCTAGTCCCGTAAGCACGTAATAGATGTTCGTTGAATGGAACGATCAAACGGTAAAATAGCGACCCCACGGCAAGAGGACTTGGGAGAGCGGCCCCGCTTAGGGTCTGGGTGGAAGGGACGATACACTTTCTCTGCGAACTGGCACGAACTCCGGACTGACCGCTTGGCTCAAAACCCGTAAGGGCTCCTAAGCGCCGGACCGTCCACGTGCAGCTCAGCCTGGAGGAACCGAAGGACGCGTCTTGCGCGTGCGTCGCCATCACCTCGCGCGCCCCGCCCCGCCCCGCCCCGCCCCTCCCACCAGCTGCTTCTGGGCTTCTATTGGCTGCCTCGCGGGAGGACCGCCCTCCAGAAGATGACGGGAAAAATCCCAGGAGCCCGTCCAAAAGACCGTAACGAGCCTGACGTCATTCCGCAGCCAATCGCAGGCAGCGGTTTTTAGGCTTGCCCAATGAGGTCGGGCACGGCTTTGGCCCGCGGAGTTTGATTTTCGTCCAGGAACGCGGAAGCTGGCGCCTGTCCTGGGGGCTAGCGGCAGGGTGGGTGGGGGCCGCGAGTTGGGGGCCGCGCCTGCTGCGGGAGCCCCCGGGTTGAGTGAGGGGGCTCCAGTGCCGGGCCCCTGGTCGGTGGGGGCGTCGTTACCGTCCGTGGGCTGCAAACAGGCGCGTGGGCAGACACGGGTTGACGTCCGAAGGCTCCTGTACGGGACGAGCGCACTACCAGCTTCGTAGACTGCGGATTCGAGGCAGCTTGATGTTCCGGCGGTTGGTTGGAGGCTCGACTTCGGAGGAGGGTGAGCAAGGCGATCACGCTGGGTTAGGAGAGACCCTGAGGAGGCAGCGGCCCAAGCGAGTGACGCGACGGGGCGCTAGTCTCGGCCTCTTACTCACTAGTTGGGTGACTAAGTCACATCGTGTATCTGGGGTTCATATTCCTTATCTTTTAAACGGACGAGGAGGATGGATGGTACCCCGATCGTTTGTGAGGAAGAGCTGCTGTTCATTGGTTAAAAGCCTTGAGACGGCCCTCTGCCTCCTTTTCTTTCAAGGCTGAGCTGAACCCCCTCGCCAAAGCCCAGAGCTTTCAGGAGAGCGGGGACTTCGCGGTGGCAACTAACCTAAAAGGCTTTCCTGCCAACTGCCAATCCCTTGTTGGTTGAGATTTATTAATGAAGGCTTAAACATCCTATGAACTTTTAATGCAATTTAACTGATGGATTGTAGTTTCCTTTACCAGCCCTTCCCCCTCCCCCTCACCTTTGACTTGCTTCAAAATACTACTGGCCAAAAGAAATTACTTGATGGCGTAATGTGGAACGAAGGGATTCCTCCAGGTTACTTAATACAGTTTTGTGGCAGTCATTTTATGCTTTTGTTGAGAGTAATATTCTCTGAATTATTTTTCCTGTGAAGGTACCAAGAAACTGAGAATGTTTCCTTGAATTCGCTTATGTATTTGTTTCATCAATGTCACTCATATGGAATATCTTGAGAGAAATGCTGGAATATTTTGGTGTTCCCATAGATCAGGTAAATGTCTTTTAATGGATTTGAATCAACCTATTGTATTTGTTGTTGGGTCTTATTTTGAAAATGATCTATATGTAAACATTTAAGGTGAAGTTGTTCCTCCTTTTGGGTGTAACAAAGGGTGAGTTTGCAATAGAATACCTTTGGTAGTTTGAGCTAAAAAAAGGGATAAGATTAGGAGCACCTGCTGGCTCAGTTGGTAGAGCATGCGACTCCTGCTTGACCTCTGGCTTGTGAGTCCCAGCCCCATGTTGGAGGTAGAGTTTACTTAAAAAAATAAAAAAAAAATAAGATTATCAGGAACTTATTTACCAGATAGGTCAAATGTGAGCAAAAGGTGCAAATGCAGCAAAATATAGATATGACCTTCATAGGTAAAAAATATTTTAATTAGCTAGTGGTTTTATTTAATGTAATTTAAGTTTGGTATTTGGATATATAATGGCAAGTTATAGCTCAACAAATTCAGAATAAATCTTGACAGAGGATGACATAGGTCTGAAAATTATAAGCAAATCCAGTTTTCTCTATTTAGGGAGCATTACTACTTCTAAGACAATATGCTTGGTTCTGCAAGTGATACAGAGTAGCGGTACATGGTTCTTGTATTCATGATGCTTATAATAGGAGGTAACTATAATACAAGATTGAATATAAGAAAGAGGATAGTTGGGTTTACAGAATGGGCAAATCATTGCTGTTGTGAATTAGAAGAGAATAATAGTCAAGGATTCTTTCAAGATTTTAAGCAAAAGTAAGCTGAAGAGTGGCTATAAATTCTAAATAGGCAATTATTATATGATAAATATTATTATAAATGGGCAATTCAGTATAGGAACTAGTTTGGAGAGATAGGATGAGCCAGCTGTGCTGTTGGATTATATACAAATATCCAGCAGATAGATAAATGGTTCTAGAATGTAGGAAAAAGAGATTCAAATTTGGAGTTGTCTACATTCTTTTGATATTTGAATTCATGGACTTTGATGACATAATGGAAGATGTTGTTGGATGTTACGGATGCATTTTGAATTTCAGAAATAATGGGATCGAAGATCATGGCCACTGAGTAATAGTTGAAGATTTGCTTATTGTTAAATTACTGAAGCCTTTAGGGGTTTCTGTAGGTGGAGAGTGGCAGCTGCCTTGTATTTTGAGGAATGATTGAAGAAGGGAGGTAGCATCAGCACCTCCTTTTGAAAAGTTTTTGAAAAGAGGTCAAAAGTGACCATCAAACTGAAATTTTGCTCATTCATTTGGGGAATATAAAAAATAGTGACAGGGAGTAAAGGGGAAAGGAGAAAAAATGAGTGGGAAATATCAGAAAGGGAGACAGGACATGAGAGACTCCTAATTCTGGGAAACGAACTAGGGGTGGGGGAAGGGGAGGTGGGCGGGGGGTGGGGGCGACTGGGTGACGGGCACTGAGGGCGGCACTTGATGGGATGAGCACTGGGTGTTGTTCTATATGTTGGCAAATTGAACACCAATAAAAAATAAATATACAAAAAAAAAGAAATTTTGTTTTCTTGCCAATGTTAGAGATAACTTCATGTTTGCAAGCACTGGGGAAGAACCTCATAGGCAAGACAAAAATTTAAGATTCAAATGAAATAGCAAGTGATAGTTGGGCAAGGAATATAAATAAATAAGACTTGGAAAGAAGATGGATAGGTTGAGTAGGATAAAAGTGAGAGATGGTGGAGAGGTTTTGAATGAAGAGAAATGAAAGTTGAGGTATGTCAAATTGGCATTCTTGGTTTCCTCAGTTAAGAGTAAAGTCAGGGCCACTGGCAAGTAACAGAAATGGTGGTATTGGAGATTTCAGAGATTGGAGATTTCTTTTTTTAAAGATTTTATTTATGTATTCATGAGAGACACAGAAAGAGAGAGAGATGCAGAGACATAGACAGAGGGAGAAGCAGGCTCCATGCAGGGAGCTCAGTGTGGGACTCGATCCCAGAGTCCGGGATCACACCCTGAGCCGAAGGCAGATGCTCAACCCCTGAGCCACCCAGGGGCCCAAGACTGGCTATTGTTTTGGGCAACACAGTAGAGAACAAAACATGTTCTGACATGGTTGCAGGATACCTGTGCAGAATACCCCACTCAAGTCAGCATGGATTTGTAGTCTTTTGAAATATGTGCTTTCTTTTCTCCTGCTAAGAGTAATTGGGGTAGTTTATCCATTAGTAATATGAGAACACGTGATATCTGAAGGATGAGTAGTTTTTGAGTGGTAATGTGCATTTCACTGAAACAGTTAACTTGAAATTCTCTGCTTGGTAGGAAAAGCACATCAGTAAAGTAAAAATCAGGGCCCTGGATCAAGAATAGAAGGAGGGGAAAGCATCAGGATGGTGAAGATGGTCAATGGCAATGAAGGGATGAGAGAAACAGGGAGTTTGTCAGGGTGGAACTTGTGGAGTAAGACAGGACGGCACCATCCAAGTTAACCCAGAGATGGGTGGCTATTTATGTACAGTGAGTAGCCCTCACTGCAGCAAAACCTCTAGGCCTGTAGGAAGAGTGCATATGAGTGGTCTAGAGAACACTTTAAATATAACTGCTCAGGCAGGGAGAAATTCTAGTGTTAGTAGGTCCATGATCTGTATACTTTAGGCTTGCGCTAGTCAGTATTGTAGCCACTGGCCAGATATCATCTTGAAATGTCAGAATTAAGATCTACCATAGGTGTGAAATGTATGATGGATTTTGAAGACCTAGTATGAAAATAAGAATGTAAAATAATGCCATCATTTAAAAAATATTGATTGCATGTTGAAATAACAATATATATATATATAGAGTATTGAATTAAATAAAGTATATTAAGAAAATTAATTTTACCTGTCTCTTTCTACCTTTTCAGATGTAGCTACTAGAAAATTTATTTTACATATGTGGTTTGTGTTTCATTTCTTTTGGAAACCACCTTACAAGGTGATACTAGTATACCTGTGGTTTACAACAACTAACTACCCTGTGGATTTGAAAAGCAACACTGACCTGTCTCTGCCAGTAAAGATTGCTGCAATCTAATGGAGCAAAGAGAAAACTGCAAATGAAACAAAGTTATATGTAGTCAGGTGTCCTATTGTATAGTACTCCTTTGGAACTAAGTTTAGGAATTCAGAGCCTAGGCAGCTCCTGAGAGCAGAGAAAATGAAACGTGTAGAGGAATGTGAATTTGGCTTTAAAAGACAGGTGAGCAGGGTCGCCTGGGTGGCTCAGCGGTTGAGTGTCTGCCTTTGGCTCAGGGCGTGACCCTGGAGTCCCAGGATCGAGTCCCACATTGGGCCCCTTGCACAGAGCCTGCTTCTCCTTTTGCCTGTGTCTCTGTCTGTCTCTGAGTCTCTCATGAATAAATAAATAAAATCTTAAAAAAAATAAAAAAAAAATAAAAGGTGAGAAAAGCTGGTGCCAGGGCTTAAGTTAGAACAGAGCTTAGTAAGTAAGAACAGTGCTTAGGAGTTAGAGGAATATCGGCTTGTTTTTGAGATGATGAGGGAAATCCCTTAATCGAAAAGAACTTGTGGATAATTCAGTCAGATAGATAAAACAGGGCCAGGTGGCAGAGGACCTTTAAGGGTGAGCGGAGAATGAATACAGAACTCATGGAGGACGTCTTGGAGACTGAGATAACAGAACTGCTGGATGGTTGTGAGGCTAGTTGATAGAATCAGTATGGAATGCTAGACTTAGGGGTTTGGATGTGATCAGATACATTTAGAACTCTTACTATTTAAAAGCAGAGAAATGGCATTCTGTGTGCTGATAGTTTCTGGATTTTCCTCGCTAGCCCCAGTTTTTCTCAACTAGTCAAATGGCTTCCATTTTCACCTATCCTATATTCTGTCTGCTGATGATTCCCAAATCCATCTAAATCCCAGATTTTTTTCCCCTTGAGTTCTAGAACTATATATCCACCTGCTTATTGGGTATTTCTAAGAAGATGCTGATAGGGTGCTATTTCTGTTTCTTGTGATAAACTTTGTCCTTGTTATAGGATCTTAGGAAAAATGAAAAGTCCAAGTTTTCATGCTTTTTTTTTTTTTAAGATTTTATTTATTCATTCATGAGAGACAGAGAGAGAGAGAGAGAGAGAGAGAGAGAGAGAGAGAGAGAGAGGCAGAGACACAGGCAGAGGGAGAAGCAGGCTCCATGCAAGGAGCCCAACATGGGACTTGATCCTGGACTCCAGAATCACGCCCCGGGGTGGAAGGCAGGCGCTAAACCGCTAAGCCACCCAGAGATCCCAGTTTTAATGCTTTTTAAAGAGAGAAGGTCTTTTCTTTATGTTGAAATCTCTGCCAAGAGCAGAAATGTTACATCATATTTTGGGGGGAGGTTCTTTTGGGAATAGTTTGAATCGGTCTGGAAAGGCTGAGCCAAAAGACAGAGTGGTATTTGAATTATAGTAGCACATTTCATTTCTATCATCTTTTTAAGAACTGCTTTCTAGCAGATATATTGCACTGTAAGTAAAGAATTCTTAAATTGTCTAGTGCCTGATTAATTTATTCTCCTCTTTATCTCACCTTTAAAGGGAATTACATGAGTTTACTCTGTACTGCCTCATTGCTTGAGAAACTGAAATTGTGCACTTTAATTGGGCCAAAAGATATGTTTAGCTGGGAGGAGGGGAGGCAGTGTTTCTGAATAAAGTTCCCAAAGGTATTTTGCCATTATCAGAAATAGGACAAATATGAATTTGTGGTGCTTTCTTAAAAGAAATTTCTTCCTGGAATATTATATAGATTAACTCCCATCCCTTTTTAAAAAAGTTTTTTTTTTTTTGTAGTTTTATGGTTTTATTGACACAAATGACATGCACATAAGCTGTGTCTTATATTTCTTCGCTACCGCAGCCTGGCATTGGGATTGGTGACTCTGATGGCCAGCCGGGCTGCTCTTTCCACAATGGCTTTGCAGTTCTTGGAGGATACATTGTGAACAGTCTCTGCACAGTAAGATTTGTTGCACACCAGAAGCACTTCAAGCTCCTTGACATTGTGGACTAGGAACTTCCGGAGGCCACTGAGCAGCATATGCTTTGTTTTCTTGTTGCTCCCATAACCAATGCTGGGCGTCAAGATCTGGCCCTTGAATCTTCAGTGTACCCTATTGTCAATGCCTCTGGGTTTCTGCCAGTTCTGCTTAATTTTGACATATCAGTCTGACTGGTGCTGGATGAACTTCTTGGTCCTCTTTTTAACAATCTTGGGCTTCACCAGAGGTCTGAGGGCAGCCGTGTTGCCCAGCAATAGATGGCTGCCACCTCCACAGGCAGCGCCAAGGAAGAGCCCTTTTTTTAAAAATTTAAGACAAATATGAATAAAGTTTAATCTTTGAAGGAAATACTTTGAGTATTTCACTCTCTATTTTCTCTTTCAAAATAAGAATTAGTGGGACACCTGGGTGGCTCAGCAGTTGAGCGTCTGCCTTCAGCTCAGGTGGTGATCCCAGGATCCTGGGATTGAGTCCTGTGTCGGGCTTCCTACATGGAGCCTGCTTCTCCCTCTGCCCGTGTCTCTGTCTCTCTCTCTCTGTGTGTCTCATGAATAAGTAAAATCTTTTAAAAAAACAAACAAAAAAAAAAACAAAAACAAAAACAAAATAAGAGTGCATCTTTTACATCTGCTTTTCTTCATAGATAAACATGTTTTAACAGAGTACTTTTTAAACAACATTCTATGTTGTAAATAGGTTTTGCAGATTAGAGAAAATAAAGACTATGGATCAGCTCGAAGTATTGTTCGTATCATCGGGAAAATTCTTCCTCTAGAACCTTGTCCCAGGCCTAATTTTGAGGTAAGTCTGTCAACATGCATTGTTTATGCATAAAATAATCGTAGGTACTCCTAGAGATAGAGTAGAACAGAAGAAGAAGAAATGTTTCCTGCAAGCCAAAAAACCTTTAGCTTATTCCTGGAAACAAGTCATTTCTTATATGTTTTTGTGTTTACTTCTTTAAGTAATTATAGTCACAGTTGGGCAGGTCCAAAGCAACACCTGAATACCTTATTTTATTCTTCTGGTTTGTGTTTTATGATAGATGACATTAACCAGGGTAGAGAATATTGCTATAGACTTTAAGAACAACATTTTCCTCAGTATTGCTTTTTGCTAACAGGTGCATGCTTTTGTTTTGAATATCCTTTTTCCTTTTCACCCTTGGATTTTTAATTTATGTAATCTTAATGGATGTGCATGTGTCCTACTCCTGCCCCCGACTCCTGCAGGGCTCTGACATTTTCTTTTTCTTTTTTTTTTTTTTTTTTTGCCTTTTTTCCTTTAGTTGATCCCACTGTTGAACTCTGTAGACTCTGCTAACTGTGGATCTGTAGTTCCATCTTTTGCTGATACTTTGTGTGTGGCAAATGATGAAGAAGCCAGTTATTTCAGATTTCGGTAATTTTATATACTTAACTGTGGAAAATGGGTATGGGCTGTAATCTGAATTCTTGTACATGTTGCAGTTTGATCATACTAATTGAGCCTTTTGTCTCTGTACTGCCCTGTGTCTTACTAATTAATATTTTCCTAATATGGATGACTGGGTGTCTCTCACATTTATTTCCCATTTCTCATAATGCAGGCCTAGGAAGGAATGATATTAAAAGCATGTCAGAATCAGTATGACCATTTTTAGAAGAAAGGTGTTTCCCACACTGGATACTATATTTATTTATTTACTTAAAATATATAACCAAAACTTATATTTACTATGTGCCAGGCAATGATGTTAAATATATTTTAAAATTATGAAATACTACTGCTTGGGAGTACCAACTTATGTGTTAGTATTTTCAGATAATAAGCTCTAAGCACAAAAAGAGTCAATTACTCAAATATTCTGGTTAAGTTTATTATGTGTCAGACTAGGTAATCTATTTATTTTTTATTTTTTACTTTTTTTAAAAAAGATTTTATTTATTTATTCATATGAGAGAGAGAGAGAGAGACGCAGAGAAACAGGCAGAGGGAGAAGCAGGCTCCATGCAGGGAGCCCGATGTGGGACTCGATCCCAGGCCTCCAGGATCAGGCCCTGGGCTGAAGGCAGTGCTAAACCGCTGAGCCACCTGGGCTGCCCTAGTTTATCTATTTAAAAAAAGTTAGAATGCCATAAACTTACTCCTAACATAAAACTTTATATTAGGCTCTGTAGTACCTTGTTTTCAGGATATGTAGAATTTCTAAGTGAATCAATTTTATTTCTTTTTTTTGTTAAATTTTATTTCTAAATAAATCAGTTTGTACTGTGTTTAAACCTAATACGTAGAACAGTTAGAGGATAATTTTTTTTTTTTAAAGATTTTATTTATTTATTCATGAGAGCCCCAAAGAGAGAGGCAGAGACATAGGCAGAGGGAGAAGCAGGCTCCTGTAGGGAACCTGATACGGGATTCAATCCCAGGACTCCAGGATCATGACCTGAGCTGAAGGCAGATGCTCAACCACTGAGCCACCCAGGTGCCCCCAGGATAATTATTTTTGTTTAATGGTCAAAAAGCAAGATTTCTTCCTTTATTCACTTACCACTTATTGGTGACCTATTAAAGGCAACCGTTGTGTTCTAATATTGAAAATACAAAGTTACATAGGATGTGCTTGTCCTCAGCCAATGGAGAGACAATTGTGGGATAAAGAGAGGTACTCTGATTTTTGTTTTTGTGTCTTTATTCCTCTTTGACTGAAAGAATTTATTTCTCTTGGAAAATTTCTCTCCATTTCTCTCTCTCTCCCTCTCTCTGACCATCACTGTCTACTTCCTCCTTCCATCCACAGAAATAATATATGGAAACATGAAGAAGAACAGAAAACTGAATTTTTCCATTCTTTGCAACCAGTCTGGAATCCACTGTCACCTGCTCTCAGACAGAGTAAACGAATGAAAAATGATGGGTCTGTAGGTGAAGCTGCCTTTAAAAAGATAGCCGCCCTGGAAGAGGAGCTCACTTTCCTCCGCACCCAGATTGCTGCAATCGTGGGGAGGCGGGGACCCAAAACCAGTGTACATGAGAGTGAGTCGTGTGCCCTTGTTTGTTTCAGATGGTGCACAGTGCTCAGTGCTTGGTGCTCAGTGCTCGGTGCTGGGCTGGCAGTTCCGTCTGTGCTTTTCCCAAGGGGAATGTCTATGCGAACACATGTTGTGAATGACGTTCCATAAATCTAGGAAGTCGGGATGTGAAATTACTATCCATGGTTTTTATTTAGAATAAATTAAGACACATTTGTGGTGAGGCGGAAGGCTTTGGTTCCAGCTATACTGCTGAAGATTGTGCTTTTTTATTAAAAAGCCTGTGGTTGTTTTTTAAGATATTTATTTATTTGAGAGAGAGAGAGAGAGAGATAGAGAGAGATAGAGATAGCTCCAGCAAGGGGGGAAAGAGGGAGAAGCAGACTCCCCTGCTGAGCAGGGAGCCCTCCAGGGGGCTGGGATCTTGACCTGAGCAGAAGATTGAGGCTTAACCCACCTAGCCCCGCAGGCACCCCCAAAAGACTGTTTTCTAAGGAAGCTTTTCTACCTCTTCAGAAAAGCATTGCAGTTTATGACAAAAGATGTATTAATTTGAAAGAAGAGTGTAAATTTGAGGCTTTGTGTATTTGTAGTTTGAAGTTATTACTACTGTCCTTCTATCAAATTCAGGTTGAATAATGTGTCCAGATGATCCTTTTCTAAATTTTTAGAGATATGACTTGTTTTACATAATACACACATAATATATACATGTATCTATACATATCCTTATACACATAATTCATATACATGGAATGTTTATATAGTATATATATAAAATATAATACATATTAATAAAAATAGCAATTAAAGTGAGATATACACACATACATCATACATTTTTTTTTTTAGCAGTCATGTTAAAGAGCACAAGTCTTTTGGGAACAAATCTGTTGTGGAAAAGTTAAATACTCAGTACCCATCCTAGGCTCTTGCCTAGGAAATAATTTGTTTCTACAGTGTCATCATAAAGAGAATATGCCAGTTTGAGTATTTCTAGCTACAAGTTGTTGATTATGCTTTAGTTTTTTTTTTTTTTAAATTGAGGATGAAATTCAGATTATATGTTAATTACTGAAAAAACACTTTCTATTTCTTTTTAAAAGACATTCTCACCCTACCTCCCTTTAAAGGCCTGTACAGACAATCCTAATTGGATTAAAATTAAGTTTATTCTTCGGTTTGACTCATAAAAAAAATTACTAAGCAGATGGGATTGCTTCTCTTTCCTGGCCACCATATCATTGTTTTAGTAGCCTTACAGAAATTGTTCCTGTTTTGGTTCTCTAATTAGTGCTATGTGTTATGTTGAAGAGAACTTTGTATGATTTTTCAACAGACTGCTTTGTTTTTAGGCTTCTTTGACTTAAATGACGAGCCTAGCAGTTTGGGACAACAGCCATCACCAGGGACTGCTGAACTGGGTGCCCAACCGGATCCATTTTCAAGTTCAATGCTTTTCCCTCCTCCTCCTCCGCCTCCTCCTCCACTGCCCCCTCAGCTTTTTTCTCCACAGCCTCTGTGTTCTCTCACACAGTCAGGGTTGAAAAATACATGTGACTCGGATAATGCAGCCAATGAAATGAAAAAACAGCACCCAGGTGACAACAGTAAGACCAATTACAGTCGTTCCAAAAACCAGGAAAATCAAGATGTTCCAAACATGTTGGATGTTCTAAAGGACTTGAATAAGGTTAAGCTTCGGGCTATTGAACGGTATGTTAGCATAACTTGAGAAATGAACCGAAATTCTATTAATGATGTTTGTTTCGTTTTGTTTTAAGATTTTACTTATTTATTCATGAGAGACACAAAGAGAGGCAGAGACACAGGGAGGAAGAAGTGGGCTCCAGCTGGGAGCCCAATGTGGGATTCGATCTGGGGACCCTGGGATCATGCCTCGAGCCAAAGGCAGACACTCAACTGCTGAGCCACCCAGGTGTCCCTTCACTATGCTTTTAGTAGGATTTCCCAGAGAGCTGCCGTGTTCATCTGAAAATCCTTCAGTGAGGTTTTTAATGAGAAAGTAAATATATTTTCCATGTAATAGTGTTAGGGAAGATACATCATTTCATTATTAATGAGGCTATGATTTGATCCTTGTATGAGGCACCGGGTACAGAGTAAAATGTGGCTAGATGTGCACACTTGTTCCAGCAAGAGGGCTGACTGGTATCATTGGGCCCAGTCAGTGTCACATGGTGACTCTGTTACCATGACCTGAGACACAGCAAGGAGGCCAGTAGACTCTCCCCTCCACCCCCAAACTCTTATTTTTCTACAGCTAACCTTGCATTATACATTACTGCAGAATCAGATGAGACTTCCTCCATCTTTACAGAATCACTATTCATATTCTCTGCCTTCTATCTTGTCACTGTGAATGAAATGTCATTGTTCATGTCCAGGTTCTCCCCTGGGTCACTGGTTCCCCTTCTATTACCTTCTCAAGGATTTTACTTAAAACTATCCCTTGTGTCTTCTACATCATCAAATTGTCCTTCTCTGTTTTCCTTACACCTGATTATTTCTTATCTTCAAAACACATTATATCCCCAGCTATTGTTTCTCTGCTCCTCTTCCTGGTAGAAATTCTTGTCAATTGTTTGTTTGCATCTCTCACTGCCCTCTTCTACCAGCTGTCATATGGTCTCTGTCCCTGTCACTGCTCTGAAAACTGCCATTTGTCAAGGTCACCAGTGACTCTCTGGCTAAATTAAACCCAGTGGTCAATTCTTATTCCTCTTACCTGATGTCTTGGCAGTATTTGATACAGTTTGTGGTTCCCTCCTCCTTGGAACCACTCTTTGGTTTCAAGGAAATCACACTTGGTTTTCCTCCTACTTCACCGTCCACTCTTTATTCCTTTGCTTACTCTTTGTTCTGGGCCTGGTCTCTGCATGTCGGCATGTGCGAGGCCCAGGTCTCAGCCCCTTTGCTTCTATATACACATTGTTTCCTTTGGTGATCTCACCGAGTCCTATGGCTGTGCACACCAGTGATACACTAATGACCTTCACCCTTATTTTTCTATCCCTGATCTTTCTCCTCCGCACCCCATGCCTACCTGACGCATTGCCTGCCTGACATCCTTTGCCTGTCTCACAGTTGTCTCAGGCTTCACATGTCCAAAACAGAAGTGTTCCTTCCTACCTGTCCACTTTCTCCACCTTGAAAACCTGTTCTGCTGCAAGTCTTATGCATCTCAGTAAATGGCAGCACCATCACCCAGTTCATCACCCAGTTGTCTGTTCAGTCCAGACATCTAGAATCATCCTTTTCCTTCTCATTTTTTTTTTTTCTATCACCATACAGCTCAAATGTATGTACCCTCACGATCTAGCTGCCACCACCAGTCTAAGCCATCTTTAGCTTGGACTTGCAGTAGCCTCCTAATTCATCTCTCGGTGTCCTTGTTTCCTTATCTTTTCTCCATATAGTAATCAGGGTGATCCTTTAAAAATTGAAGTCCAAAAAAAAAAAAAAAAAAATGAAGTTCAGGGGCATTTGGCTGGTTTAGTTGGTGGAGCATACGACTTAATCTTGGGTTTGTAAATTCAATCCCCATGCTGAGTGTAGAGATTACTTAAAAATAAGATGTTGGAAAACGAAAGAATAGGGGATCCCTGGGTGGCTCAGCGGTTTGGCACCTGCCTTTGGCCCAGGGTGCGATCCTAGAGTCCTGGGATCGTGTCCCACGTCAGGCTCCCGGCATGGAGCCTGCTTCTCCCTCCTCCTGTGTCTCTGCCTCTCTCTCTCTCTCTCTCTCTCTCTCTCTATGTCTATCATAAATGGATAAATCTTTAAAAAAAAAAAAGCCTTTATAAAAAAAAAAAAAGAAAACGAAAGAATAAATAAAATTTGAAGTCCGATCTGTCCATTTCCTGCTTAAAACCCTTTTGGGGGTTTTCCATTGTGCTTAGAACATAATCCAGACAGCTATTGTGGCTTCTTTACTGACCCCAGGATCCAGCCCTTGCTTCTCTCTCTGACTTCATGTCCTTCTTCCCATGTCACTTTGTGCATTCCAGCTGTACCGTTTTTTTCTTTTTTCTCACACATGCCAAACTCCTTCCTGTTTGTTTATACTGACACCAACTCTGAGTCATCTATAAGAGGATGCAACCTCTTTACTTTTCCCGGTCATCTCACCTAAGGTCCTGTTGTCCCAATCACTGTCACATTACCTACTTAATTTTATTCTTAGCATGCATTGCTCTCTGCAGTGATCTCACTTGGTCATTGATTTCCTGTCACCAGAGTGTTCCATGAGGTTAGGATACGGCTCTACTCTCAAAGTGTAAAATGGAGCCTGGTATGATAGTAGGCATTAAGTGAAGACTGAATGAATGATTAGCCAGTGGTTTACTTTTCATGAATTTGATAGTCCCCTTAAAGGTTCTTAAATATTTCTTTAAGTATTCCACTGGAAAATTGGAAAATTAAAAATAAAGATCTTCAATCCCCAAGATATTTGATAATCTCAGCTCATAACGAAGTTGTGGTGGAGCCCTACCCCCATGGTTTCTTGGTTTTCTGATTCCTATTTCATTGTGCCTTCAGATTCCTTATTCTTCATCTAAAATTTTCACGCTCTTGAAGAATAATTAGATTGTAATATATTATGCTTATATTTCTGGTATGTTTGTCAACAAGGAGCATAAATTGCACAAGAGTTTAATTTAAAAAAAATTTTTTTAAATAGGTCACCTGGCGGTAAACCCATTCATAAGCGGAAAAGACAAGATTCACATTGGGATCCAGTGTCTTTAATATCCCATGCACTTAAGGAGAAGTTTGCTTTCCAAGAAGATGATTCCTTTGAGAAAGAAAATAGGTCGTGGGAATCTTCTCCATTTTCTAGTCCAGAAACTTCAAGAGTGAGCTATAATAATGTGAAGTTAATGTTTTGATTTTTTTTTAAAGTGTATTGTTCATGATAGATCTTTGCCTTCAAGTTCTTTTAAAGTACCTGTGCAGAACGGGCTATACAGTTGTTGCTGGTACCGCTAATGTTTCTGTTGTTTCTGTTAACTTTCACACATTCCTTTTTGCTTTTGACTTACTATGAAGTTTTTTGAAATAAAACACTTGATTTGAAAAATACTTGTGCATGATGAGTTTGTAAAGGTTTATCCTGAACAGGGCCTACGTGGTGTTGCTGTCTGCAGTTGGAAGGGATGTCTGAAAGTTGGAGGGGCCAGAGAAGGATGGTGACACATTCAACCTCAGCAGTTAAATGAATATTCCCAGTATTTTTCTCAAATATAAAGACTGGATTATTTAGTTAAATAGAATGTGAACAGTGCTTTTAAAAAAGCAAGTGACATTGCAATGATCTTCAATGACAATGCTTCTTGGTTGTTTAGAAGGACACACTTAACTCTTGAGATTACCTCTTATTTGAAGTCTCTTTTCTTAATTTAATTTTCTTTAATTTCACTTTACTTTGGGGGTGGTTTTGCCATCTCACAGCTGACCTGAGGTAGTAGCACATACGAATAAGCCTTGGGAGCCAGAGGACCGAGAAGGAGGGAGGCGTGTAACATGAAGTGCATGGCATAGGGGAACAGTCAGCAGAGGAGGAGATGGGACAACAATGAAGCAGGGAGCCAACTCCAAGGGAGGAACAGCCCCACTCACCTGCCAGCATCTGTAGTCTCTGAGTACTCTCAGCTGCGTGCGCAGCCTCTGATGTTAATCTTGTTGACTCTTGAAATTCGTAACTCGAAGAAGGCAAAAAAGGATAGTTTTTACTTTAGAATCTTTACCATTAGAAGGCACAGATGTGCCTAAAAAGAAATGTTTAACATTTGTGTAGAAATATATAACCCGCAGTACCTTTTTGCTCACCTCGTTTGATCTTCTCAGCAATATCCTAAAAATAAATAAGAAAAATAAGTCCATATTACCTGTCTCACGCCTGAGGAAGTGGGCCTCAGCGCTGACGGAATCTGCTTGGAACCCCACATCTCATTGGGAGAGCAGTGACTGGAGCTTGGTTTATTAAAATGTTAGGATGTCTGAAAACCTTCGGTTAGGTAAGTTGCTTGTGAGGGACACGCTCCCAATGATGGTAGATGAATGGGGGAGTTACTGTGTAGTAACTATGTAGTTAGTTACTACCTAAGCAGGTTGTCTTACACTGCTCACTCCTCAGCATTTTATCTCCAACCAACCACAAGCACTTTAGAGAAAGAATCCTTTCTTTTTGTGTATTGTAAGGCACCGTGCTTAAGACTGGACACACGAGGACTCAAGTTGTAGTCGACTGGGAGCTCAGCCAGTTTGTGTCTTCAGCCCTGGCCATGATGCCTGACACACAGTCTCAGAGACCTATTTATTGTTGACTGAATTAAACCTTCAGGGATTGTTAGGTTGTTGTGTTAAATTCTTTTACATGAGCATCATTTCTGGGTAAATCTTTTGCTTTATTTCAGTCTGGGCGTCACATTTCACAGGACAATGAACTAAAGGAAGAACTGACACAAAAAGTGTTGACCAAGGTGCAGTGTGCCCAGAGTCTACACTGGCAAGGAAAGAGTGCAGAAGTGTTCCAGCATGCCTCTCCCTACATGTGGAAGGATTTCAACTGTTAATGAAGTTGAATGAAGTGTATGCACTGGGATATATTAGTGCAGGGGTCTAAAGGGCCTTGCCTCTTCAGAACACCTGTCTCTGTTCTTGGGAGATCCAGCGGTTAACTGGCTGTCGATGATAGGCGTAAGGATTTCTTTTTCCATGTATCGAAGCATGATTAAAAGCTGGATATTTGTTTTGAGTGATTTTCCTAAGAGCTAAGTAGTAAATGACTTAATGTTTCCCATCAGAGAGCAGCAGGGTCTCATTAGAGGATAACAAATCATTTTAGTGGATTAAGAAATTAAACTAAGTATGTATTGTAGTACCTAGCAAATGATAGTATATCTGGATTCTTAAAAATAATCTCTTAATTATGACTTTCTAACTTAACAATTTTTGAGTCTTTTAAAAATTGATAGTGATCTGGTTTACTTGGCTTCAGGAACCTCTAAATTGAATCATATAGATTAAGTCTCCTAAAAATCCTTCTGAAGGTGATCAGGAATTATTCTTAAGGAGGGCACCTGGGAAGGAGGCTCAGTCACTTAAGCGTCTGCCTTCAGCTCAGCTCATGATCCCAGGGTCCTGGGATTGAGCCCTGGGTCAGGCTCCTTGCTCAGCAGGGAGTCTGCTTTTCCCTCTCCCTCTGCCCTTCCCCCTGTTAGTGCTCTCTCGTTCTCTCTCTCTCAAATAAATAAAATCTTTTAGAAAAAATTTGTAAAGATTTTATTTATATATTCATGAGAGACACACACACCAGCAGAGACACAGGCAGTGGGAGAAGCCCGATGTGGGACTTGATCCTGGGACTCCAGGATCACTCTCTGAGCCAAAGGCTCAACTGCTGAGCCACCCAGGCGTCCCAATAAATAAAATCTTAAAAAAAAAAAATTCTTAGAAACTTATTTTGATTGTTAAGTAGAAATGCTTGAAAGAATCTTGATAAATTTTGCCTACACTTCTATGTAAATATGAATGCCTATCATTGTATTTGCTTTGCTCCCTTTTATGTTTATACTATGTACCTTTGAAAATTGCTTTTTGAACTTGGTTATGTTTTGTAGCAAATCAAATTTATGTTTTCTCCTTTGGGAAAGAGTTCTGTAGCAAGAGTGCCTAGGGTCATCAAATGAAAAACATGTAGGGTTGACCTCCATGTAGGTATTTTGTCCCTCTTTGCCCATATTCTTTTTTTTTAATAATAAATTTATTTTTATTGGTGTTCAATCTGCCAACATACAGAATAACACCCAGTGCTCATCCCGTCAAGTGCCCCGCTCAGTGCCCGCCACCCAGTCACCCCCACCCTCCGCCCTCCTCCCCTTCCACCACCCCTAGTTCCTTTCCCAGAGTTAGGAGTCTTTCATGTTCCTTCTCCCTTTCTGATATTTCCTACCCATTTCTTCTCCCTTCCCCTCTATTCCCTTTCACTATTATTTATATTCCCCAAATGAATGAGACCATATAATGTTTGTTCTTCTCTGATTGACTTACTTCACCTCCAGTTCCATCCACGTTGAAGCAAAATGGTGGGTATTTGTCATTTCTAATGGCTGAGTAATATTCCATTGTATACATAGACCACGTCTTCTTTATCCATTCATCTTTCGATGGACACCGAGGCTCCTCCACAGTTTGGCTATTGTGGCCATTGCTGCTAGAAACATCGGGGTGCAGGTGTCCCGGCGTTTCATTGCATCTGAATCTTTGGGGTAAATCCCTAACAGTGCAATTGCTGGGTCATAGGGCAGGTCTGTTTTTAACTCTTTGAGGAACCTCCACACAGTTTTCCAGAGTGGCTGCACCAGTTCACATTCCCACCAACAGTGTAGGAGGGTTCCCTTTTCTCCACATCCTCTCCAACATTTGTGGTTTCCTGTCTTATTAATTTTCCCCATCCTCACTGGTGTGAGGTGGTATCTCATTGTGGTTTGGATTTGTATTTCCCTGATGGCAAGTGATGCGGAGCATTTTCTCATGTGCTTGTTGGCCATGTCTATGTCTTCCTCTGTGAGATTTCTGTTCATGTCCTTTGCCCATTTCATGATTGGATTGTTTGTTTCTTTGCTGTTGAGTTTAATAAGTTCTTTATAGATCTTGGAAACTAGCCCTTTATCTGATACGTCATTTGCAAATCTCTTCTCCCATTCTGTAGGTTGTCTTTTAGTTTTGTTGACTGTATCTTTTGCTGTGCAAAAGCTTCTTATCTTGATGAAGTCCCAATAGTTCATTTTTGCTTTTGTTTCTCTTGCCTTCATGGATGTATCTTGCAAGAAGTTACTGTGGCTGAGTTCACAAAGGGTGTTGCCTGTGTTCTCCTCTAGGATTTTGATGGAATCTTGTCTCACATTTAGATCTTTCATCCATTTTGAGTTTATCTTTGTGTATGGTGTAAGAGAGTGGTCTAGTTTCATTCTTCTGCATGTTTTGCCCATATTCTAATGTCACGTGGGAATTTACATGTTCCCCTAGATCCTTCAGCCTCTGTGACCATCTGGATGGACTCAGCACCCACCTGTTTTGCCAGATTCTTCCCCTTTCAGAAAAGCCAACAGTTTTTTTGTTGCTGTGCTAGATTCGGTTGCCTGGCTTGCCTTCATTCCCCACCCTTGTCTCCCCAGTCACCTTCCTTGGCCACCCTTGCTGCCATGGCCAAGCAGCAGCCATCTTGTGACCATGAGGATTTTCTGGGTTTTCTGTGACTTGAGCTGTCAGCATTCATAAGACACAGCACGGGTGGCAGTATAGCTTCGGTACCTGCCCATTACTCCTTCTGTGTAGTTTTCTGATACTCCTTACCTGGTTCTCAACTCGGTTCTTGCTGTTGTTCCTGCCGCTCCTGTATATCCTCTCCCCACACCTGCCTTTTGTCCTCCATTGTCCTCGTCATTAGAGGTTTCCTCCATCTGAAATAATGGCTTTTTAACCCACAAGGAAGTCTTGCATTTTCAGTTTTATAGCTTCCTTTTTCAAAAGTGCATAATGAACAATCCTTCTTCAACAACCGGAAGGAACCTTCGGAAGATGCCATCCTTGGTCAAGTAAAGTATGTTTCTTGACAGACTTCAAGCTGATTGTATGGGGGGCTTTTCTGTTTACGTTAGAATGAATTTCCTGCCTTTTCAGCACCAAGACACATGGGGATTGAGCTGGCCTCGGGCTCCCCTCTGTTTAGAAGCATGACTTCTGGTGCCCTGGGAGATGTGACCACATGCCCTGAAATTCTTCAGGGAGCCTCCCAAAGAGCCGGTGTCCGGGCGACTGTGGGGTTTACCATGGAGCTCCCGAGGCTTAGGGACTCCGTGGGGGCCTTCAGGAACCTGTAGCGCATGGTCTAACACTAAATGTTATGTATTCTCCCACCCGCCCTAGAAGAGACCCCTCTCTTCTCCTCAGATGCCTTCAACGAGGTTGCTTTCTTCCCGATTGGCGGCTAGTTAGTCCCTACAAACTAGGGCCTCTCTGAGCAAGGGTATTTGAAGAAAGATTTTAATATGGAAAATGAAGAGCAAGTATTGGTTTTA